TTTTACCCGAAACGTCCAGATTTTTGGAAAAAAAATCAAAAATTAGGAAACAACATTTTGACATTTACATAATTTGGAATCTGCAAAATCGAATGCTTTGAAATCTTGCAGATGGGTTGCAGTTATGATAAGCATGATAACGTCACCTGAAAAGTTTGCCGAATAAATCCTATCTAAAATGTAGAAAATATGATGAGTCTGTACTTGTAACTTATCACTCCATTCATATTTTTTGGATTTACATATACAGGGTGACTCAAAAAAATTAATGAATGCGTGAATATATTTTATTTATTTAATCAGGAACTACAAAACCCAATGCTTTGAAATCTTGGAGATGTTTTACAGTTATCATGGTAAATTTTTAGTCAAAATATATTTCCTGATCCCCCCCTAAAAAATTGATGACGTCACCCCAAAATTTTGCTGAATAAATGCTATCTTAAATGTGCATTGTGCAAAGTATGATGAGTCTATAATTGTGATTTATCACTGCGTAAATACTTTTTAGATTTGCTGCACGGGGTGTGTGAAAAAAATTAATGACCGAGTCAATTTATTTTATTGATTAAATCAAGAATTGCAAAACTGAATACTTTGAAATCTTCACATTTTGAAGTAACTTTTTAATGAAAATGTATGTGTTTATCAACTCCAAAAAATTGATTACGGCATCTCAAAAGTTTGCCGAATAAATTCTTTCGCAAATGTGCAAAATATGAACAGACTTTTAATCATTGCATTCATATTTTTTTGATTTGATTAAACAGGTGACTCAAAAAAATTAATGACTCAGTCAATTTATTATTGATCAAATTAAGAACGAGCCACCCCATTTTCTGGAAAATGTGAGAATACGCTCGTCTTTATAATAATAAAATAATGATAAGGTAAGAATTATAATAATAACATTCAGAATTTTTTGTTCAATGGAGGCTTATGAATAATTTTAGTCATCTTTTTTGGGCGATAAACTCATTCAAATCAAACAAATGTCTACGTGACATTCTTCCGATGTAATGTATTCCCGTTGATAATGTGCTGTAAATAAATTTTACACTCATAACCTTTTTTGATGACCTTGGCGCATTCAACAGCATGCAGAACGTCCAACATCACGCTATGACGTCGTTGTTTATAAATAAAGCTGGGCGGTCGAAATTTATTCATCTTGTGTACCCGTCTACAAGGTCTACAATACTAAAGCATTGTTTAAGTAAGAAGGCAGGGTTAGACTCTGACCAACAATTTAATTAAAAAGAGTCTCTCGTAAGACATCAGTTGGTGCCTTGTCTTTTCGACGAACATTGTGAAATAAAATTAATTATAAAATTTTTAAGAAAGATGGCATTTTGAAACTTAAAACTAAAAATGACAATATATGCGATGTACAGAGGGAAGGATGCAGCGATGGAGGAGTACATACATGTTGAACACTTATATAGAAAACTCTTTCAGTATGGATTTTTTTCGGAAAGGGGTTACCCGTGTTTTCAAATTTACCCATTAAATGAAAAATGAGATTGACACTTAACACGTTAATTGGGTTGATGACTATTCTTCTAATAAACTTATGCACCCTTTTAATTTACGTTTTTGTGCAAATTTTTCGAATACTGGACAATAGGCTCCTTACATCTTCAAGCATTCAAGCTTCTTTAAAGTATCTTATGAAACTGCTTGTTTACCTTGCCTCTAAATTTGGCCCTAAGGAACTCATGTTCTTGTTTAATGATCACTAACAATGTAATAACAGTTTCGGGAAAATTTTTGTTATCAGGTTTTCACTCAACTTTTCAACAATAGAATGAAGTGAATTTTGCTTTTGTGGTGCGTTTTTAGTAGCGGAACAAAATAAATTCATTCTTACTTGTGTAGACATCGAAAATATTTCCTGTAGACTTGAAAGATCTAATTTATCATTTATGGGATTTAAAATGGAACCTTTCTGTCATATTTAAAATAAACAAAGCAGAAACTGTAGCTTACGAAACAAAATCATTTGTTTCCTTATTGACTCACATAATATTAATAAACTATGAATAATGACATTTATTTATTTCCGTCTGTTTGTCGTCTATTGCCTGTCGTCTGTCTGTCTAAATTAGATTTGAAAAAAAATAAAAATTGTAGGAATATAACATTTTACAATTTAACTTTGAAACTGCAAAACCGAATACATATTGTGAAATTTTATAAACTAAACCTTTTAAGGTTATCCTCCTAAGCATGATTTGTCCCCCGCCCCAAAATTGATGACATAATTTACAAATTTTACCGAATAAATCCTATACAAAATGTGCAAAGAACAACTCCGCCCATTTTCTTCAAAAATTTAAGAATGGAGTACTCTTATTTTATTACACTGCATCTATCTAAACTGATATATGTGCCCATGTTAAAACGATGATGTCATCACAAAATTTTGTAATCGAAAAACTCACTTGAAATAAACGTACAGCATGCTTCCTTACCTTCATTTTGACACTACATATATGTCTTTACTTTAACTTATAGGTAGGATATTATAGAGGTGTAGTAAAAAAATAAAATTTGCAGAAAGAAATATTATAATTTTTCTAAAAAACTGGATATGTTGTACTGTACTTTAAGGCGAGGGAAGTTCTGTCGAAATAACCTTGAACGAATTATTTAGATGCATTTTTAGATGCCCCTTTCCTCTTTGTTTACAATTCTACAGTTATTTAATGTCAGACTTTCAATCGAATTTATTTCGACAGAGTTTCCCTCGCCCCCGAAGTACAGTCCACTGACTCCCACTTCTTCGAAATATGTATTATAAAATTTAATTTTACGATTTTGTTTTGTGATAACCTCTATAAAGTAAGAACCAATGGCCTACATATTTAGAATCAGGTTTTTTAATAACATCTATAATTTTTTAGCAGATGAACAAAGTTCTTAACTAGTAAGTAGTTATTTTGTAACCTCGTCATCATGCATTTTTGTATTCAGTGACCTGTAAAACATCACGTAAACATTAAATTAGATATTTCGTATCGTTCTGAAAATAAAAAAAAAAAACAATTAAGGTTATTTAGGCAGAATTTGAGTCGCCTCTGAAGTATGATCAAACGAATCCACATTTTTCAGAAAGCTACAAAATTTTATTTTGCGAATGTCATTGTTGTATGATAACCCCTAAATAGGTTAAAAATAAAGATATGTGTAGACTCTTAAACTGCATGTTATACGTATGTTTCAAGTGAATTTTTCATAACACAATGTTGCGATGACGTCATCAACTTTTTAGAAAGGACATAATAATGAGATTCTAAAATCTGGATATCTAGAGTAAAATATCAAGAGGAATTCATAAACCACAAGGATAGGAGTATGTTATTTTATAAAATTTAAATGGCGTTTACTAAGCGAAATTTTGAGGTGGCGGCATCAAATTGTTAGTGGGAATGATCAGATAAATTTTGGTTAGCGTTATGTCCATACTATATTCCTAAAATACGTGTAAAATTTGTCAACAATCATTTCAATGGTTTCGAAGAACAAAATTGAGACAGACGACTGACAGACAGACAGAAAAACGACAGCCGAACGGAAACGGAATTTTTGGAATTCCACGACCGTGACCAACCATGGCTGTCTCTTTCAATTTCAAAATCCACACTGTCGTTACCTGCATGCATTAATTTTATAAAACGACATTTTTTTTTTTTAATTTTAATGTCTCCACATGTGTGCCCTCTCCTCCCCCATCATACAAAACATCATAACCAAATTTACGCAAACTCGAATTCATGTAGTACTAATACTACTTCAACCAGAGAATTTTTCTGTTACAAAAAATAATATTAATTTTAATATTCTGCTCCTACTGTATATTTTACTAAATTTTTGGGAGCTGTACTAACCGTAGATTTTCGCAGTAAATAAATTTTGCAGTTTATGTGATTAATAATAATTCGCCTTCGGCTCGTATTGTAAACTTCATCCTCGTGTAACATAATAACTCCCGTTATACCCTCATTAAATAATATAGTATAGTATTATGTAGGTTAAAAATAGATTATTAAATCACATGCAAAAATCTTTTCCTCATTCTGATACTTAAAATGTAAAACTGATAATCTAAATGTGTTCTTAAAATTTTGTGAAGATTCTAAAATTAGACATTCGTAAAATAACTTTAATAATACTTCCTTTAATTGGAAAATAATTATAAAAATTGAAAAAAATACTATTGTTAAATTTACTTCGTATGAATGGAATGAAACTTTTGCGTTTCGAATATTAATTTTCAATAACCAGCCGAAAGTTCTCATCAGATACCAAGTATAATTTCGTTTGAAGTATTAACACAATTATTTCTTCCAAGTATTACCTAATTTGTGCGAAAATAGCTTGATTATGTTTGAATTCATGATTACTGCTTAGTTTGTTAGTTGGTATAAGTACATATTTTAAATTGTAGTCTTCTAAATTAAAAAAAACAGTGTTTTAGCAGACACAACAAGAACATGAATGTTTATCGTTCCAAACTACATTTTCCACATATCAAATTTAATTTTACAATCTATCTAGAAAATGATTAAATCATGATTAGCGCTGTCAGTTTTCCTGTTTTAACATTGAACATAGCATAGGTAATACATCCGTGTATAATCAAGGTATAAGTGGTACCAAATGCCCATTGTAAAGCGCCTTGTTGTGTGGTGTGTTTCGACATAGCTTTGTAGCAACTTTTTCCAACACGTTTTCGAGATAACTAGAGTTTGAAATCAGCTTTTGTTATTTCCCTCATCAAAGGTACGAATGGACGCTGAATGATTCTGTGCTACGCATATGCCCACTTTCTCCTTGTACCACATCTTTTTTTTCTGAGTTGTATTACTACATTAATATTAGAATAGTAGGTATAGATGATTGCATCGTTTTTAAATTGTTTAATGAAAATATTTTTCGTCTTTAAGTATTCCATACTTTGTTTCTGTGTAACTAATTATTTGTTTTCTATTTTTCAGTGAGGTTACACGACAGTATACAAGAAGAAAACTTTCATTATTTAGTATTTGATTTGTAAGTATAGCAATTTACAAAGTACTTTATTGTAGGCATGCTTTAATGTGTTTTTCCCAATTAATTCTATTTACGTTACTAAGTTAAGTCAAAATACGCCTGAATTATTTTTTTTTTAACTAACGCCGAAAGGATGTAAAAGTCCATTTCACTACAGTCGATTGGATAGTGCTAAAATTTTCCAAAGTATGTAATACTAGCCAAAAAAACTAAAAATCATGCAGCACCCAAAATAATCATTTTGTGATATACCTGATAATCACATTGAATATTTCGTAGAAAAAAATGTATTTAAATAATTTGTATACTTTTTTTGAAAAATTGTACAAGAAATAAATATTTTAGTATGAGTTAAGACTCTACTAAGTATTCAGATCGTGGTTCATTATTTTTGTCAAGATTAACAATGCCAAAACATATAATGGTATGCATAAGTATGTTTTTTGAATCTTTAAAGAATATTAGTAACTTTCAAAATTCAACACCCTAAAAATATATTGAAATCTATAACATGGGGTGTTAGCTGGAAATAACTATCGATTTTATAGAATTAATTGTTGGGGAAATCTTTTTAACGCGTATTGGTAAATTATACCAAACCAAACAGAAAATAGCCAAAAAGGTTCATCGAAAATTTAAATATCGGTAACTAGCAATTAACACTTGAAAATGTGGATAATTTTATTTAGAACGACTGACTGCAGGCCACAATTGCATAAGGAAGTTACTATATCTGTATTATACATATATCATTCCTCACTACTATTGGCATTTTATAAATGCTATTAAAAGATTTGGTTAAATTAGGAAAAATACTATTTTAAATTACAAGTGACAGAAATGGTATGTTATAAGCGAGTGATACTGCTCTCACGAGCTTATAATTGCATTTCGCTCACGTATGATATACGACGTTTTATCTTACAGTAGCAGCTTTTACATAAAAGTAAGAATAATATGAATTCAGTTTGACAGCCCATTCAACCTCAAAAATCGTATTGTCATTTGATGTATTAGTAGTATGCATAATTACATTATATTACATCACTTGTTAAACACTAATATTGAATTTTGCTCTCGCAAAACAGTTGTATAATCTACCTCAAAATCTACTATTGTAAGATAAAAGACGTTATTGAATTTTGGTTCGAATAGTGACCTAAAAATAAAATCCATTTCATTCGCGAATTTGACCTTGACAGATTCACACGTTACGTTTTTAAAATATTGTTAATTGCATTGTAGAACTACCCTGAAAATATTTTTTTTATTTTTGGAAACTTTAAATATTTTTATTATTTCTTAAATTTCAGGACTGTCTTGGAAAATTGAAATTATTGAATCTTGTAAATTCGATAGATCTGCAGTATAAGCTGACCTTGATTCAATAATTCAGTATTTTAAGAGGAAAATGCTTCACTGCAATTGAATACTTTGAAGTAATGCACTTTACATTTCGTACAACTATCGCATTGTTTTCTATTGCGATAATTTATGATCACTTATAATGGATTACACTTTATGACAACTAACGAAACAATAAATGTCTTTTGGATCATTTAATTTTTATATAATTTTAATATACAGCGTGGAAACTACTTATAGAATAAATTGAGTGATTGCAGAACTAATGGTATTTGCCAAAAACGCTGAAATAGGTTAATTTTTGTTCTAATTACTCTCTTTTTAAGATTCACACTAATTTTGTAAATGAAATGTTATTTTTTTTGTGTTCTGTATACTTCTCTTAAAAATCTTTTTAACAATTCACATTTCAACTGAAGAATACAAAAACATGTAAAATTAAATAGTAACAAAATTTAGAAGATTCGTTACTAATTGAGTAAATTCTCAAACAATCTGCAACTTTTTACGTGTTTCCAATTTTTTTGAAATTATGTAAACTATTAAATACTCTGCTTGGAGCGAATAAACGAATCTAATAATCTTAAGAATTCTTGAAAATAGGTCTAACAAGTGTGGGTTCCTTGAAAAAGTTTTTAAAGGTACTGTCTACAAAAAATATAAAAAGGATAGCATTTTATTTAAAAAAATGCTTATGAGATATGACATTATAGCTCGAAAGGGAATGACGTCAGAAATATATACAACAACTTAAAAAGAGCGTAATTAGAACCACAAATTCACATGTTTCAACGTTTTCGACACAATACGTACCTTTAGTTCAATCACTCCATAAGTAGTTTCCATATTGTATATATAGTATACATATTTCAATAAGTGCAGTTGCACTAAAGTTTTTGATATCGAAGTTTCCTGAAACTTCATGTTCTATAAAACTTTTTGCATATTTATGTACTTTAAAACAGCATCTACTTCTCTCTGATAAACTTATAGGTTTATTTCAATATGCCTTTTTCTTGTGAAGTGATCCTCTTTAATTGCATATTTTATAACCCAGATAACAAAAATTATCTAAATTTAGATGAATAAAACTTTAGTTCTGCTAATTACATATCAGATTTTAGGTTATTAAAATGACGCAGTGCTCAGAGTTTCACCTACCTTGATGATGTCATTATGCATATTCCTTGAACGAACATAATGCAAACTAAAAACCGTCTTCGACCGATTTCGTAGTAATAATCTAAAACTCCACCCCGATAAATGCGAATTTCTACATGAGATAAGTTATCTTGGTCATGCCATCACTGCACATGGAGTAAAGCCAAATCCGAAAAAAATTCACGCAATTCCCTAATTACCCTGGGCCCACTGACCAAAAATCTATCAAAATTTTGCCGGCATTGCTCGACCTTTAACGCATTTATTAAAAAAGAATGTGACTTTCATTTGGGGTCCTGATCAAGAAGAGTAATTTCAAACATTTAGAAAAGTTTTCAATTATAAATTTATAACACAACAGAAAGGGAACTTCTAGCCGCCGTTTGGGCTAGTCATCACGTCAGGCCGTATCTTTACGAGCAAAAATTCAAAATCATCATCGACCTCTTACAGGGCTATGTAGTAGCAAAGATCCATCATCCAAACTCGTTTGTTGGCGTCTCAAACTAGAAGAATATCAATATGAAAAACATGTGTTATAAACCCGGCCGTATCAACTCGAATGCAGATGCCCTTTCTCAAAACCCTACAATACTTATAAACTCTCCTCATAACGATAATTATGACAACTTTGTGAGGGTGATAAATACATCAAGATTTATAGGTGCATAAAATTTCGTTGCAGAAACTTTATTGTTTTTAGAATATTCTGTATTGTACGTTTAAAAAGCGAGGTGAATTAAATCACAGACAAAGACTCGTGCTATTTTATTTTAAGTGAGATTGTGTTAAAAAAAAATTAAAATGACTTAACGTGATGTCCAGACTATTTTTTTTTTTTGTGGTAATACATATAAATATATAGGTTAAAATATGAATATATTGTCAACAAAAAGCAAAGGAGTTTTTAGTTTAAACTGATTTGGGAGTGAGGTTTATATAAAATAATTTGAAATGGAGTCATCGGTTTGTTTGAGGGAATAAATAGAAAATAATAGTCGCGTTATATCGACAGGATAATCTTCATGTACGGGTAAAATTTCAAAGTAATCGATTCAGTAGTTACCGAGAATCTAAAATTAGATATTCCTCAAAATGGCTTTTGGAATACTTCCTGTACCTTTCACAAGGGAATTGATAATAAAAAAGTGGAAAAATTAACAATTGATGCAGTTTACTACGTATTAGTAGAATTAATTGGACTATTAATCTTCCGAATCTTGTAATTTGCCAACTGGGAATTATCAAATTTGAAATATACTTCGTTTGAAGTACTAAGAGAACTGTTCCTTGCAATTTGTACGAAACGTGTGACTTTTTAAATTGTAATGGAACTAACATATTTTTGGTTCTCCATAATCGTATATTAATAAGACAAAATCTTCGGTTTTGCATGGTATCCAGTAAAATTTAGTGATAATCGTTATTGTTAATCCCTAATTATATTTATAATACATATAATGGTAGTACAAATGGAAAGCAATATGCTAATAACATGAGTTTTCCTCCCCTTATTTACTTACTTGCACAAACTTACATTTGTAATTTTTAAATTCGTACGACAAAAATGTTGTCAGAACTAATTAGCATTGTACTCGTGTTACACCCTCAGTCAGTTATATGTAGCTGGAAGTTAATGATACTCAGCTACTATTGACGTTTATGTCATTGTCGGCATACGTCTGTAGATGACCAACAAATAGGTATAATTTATAGGTAAATAAATGACGGTTATTGTATTATTTTGGTATTATTAAGAAATAAATAAAATTGCTGAAGATAGATAGATAGTATTGTACCTTGACTTGACCAAATTAATAAATATTTATGTTCATATGTAGCTGAAATTAACAAAGAGAAATGAAGATTTTACAGATTTAAATTTAGTAAAGGAGATTTTCTAATCTCTATGGTGGTCATTTCGTAACATTTTAAATTTATTATACCTCTTTATTGCTAAACATTTGAAAGCATTTAGTTTAGCACATTTGTTTGCAACATATAAAATTTTGAACTTTTCATCAAATCTATGATTTTCTTTTATTAAATAATTGTTAATTACAGCTATATAAATATATGTAAAAGTGTCTACAATTTTAAACTCAGAAAGTGGTTTTACTTTGTTAAAAAGTAATAATAATATAAATTTACTAAATCTTCGTTTTTATACGAAGAATGTAAGAAGTATTTGTCTCAATTCTCCTAGTTTGAATTTACCCTCAGTATTAATATCTTATTGCCTTAAAGAAGACAATAATTTGCAGAAGTAGTTAGTTCTCCAGCTTACCAACCATTGAAACCGAAATACATAACTTTTTTAATGGCATCATTTGTTAATATGAGTATAACTTTTTAACGGGTGTTTAATTGAAAAATCACTCAGAGTGGGCGTTACCAATAATTTTAATCTTTAAACAGGTATTTAATGTTAATTCATGGTATTGGTCCATTCGTAACGAAAATAAAAGACGAAA